ATGGTAATGTGAATGGCAGTAACAAGCATTCATCATCTTGGCACTTAACAACCCTAATACCAGTGTTAAGCGGAAGTGCTGGCGCTGGGCGCTGGCGTCGCGCTGGCGCTGGCGCCCGCCCTTGGCGCTGGCGCTGGCGCCCGCCGTTGGCGCTTGCGTTGGCGCCCGCCGTCGCCTCGCTGGCACGCTCGCCACTGGCAGAGCGCGACGGGGCAGGCGAAAGGGGGCAGCGCGACGGGTGCTGCAAAAGCAGCGGATTTCGAGCCAGCAGCGGATTTCGCGCTACTAGCAGTAGCAGCCATGCCAGCAGCACAATAAGTCGCCATGGCAGATCGCGGGTTTGGTGGGCCCATGAAAAACGAGGTCCTAGGAGGGACCACTCTCTGATATCATGTTAAATAGTACTTAGGAGATTAGGAGATTATGCAGTACTTAGGTTTAGGAGAGGTTTAGTAAGGAGAATCATGGAGGGAGAAGTTTGGCCAAAAGAGAGGCTTTCATTATGAAGTTGGGAGTACAAATAGGAAGGAGAGGAAGGGGAAAAGGGTACACCACCAGCAGTTGAACCTAATATCTAACTAATACACTAGCAAGCTGTAGGCAGTTATAACAGGATATGCAAATATAATTCAACAACCAGCTTAATGTTAAAGAGTCTTGACAGACTTGGAGCAGAGTAAATGCAGCTAACAGGTGAGCTTTGTTATTTTGTCATGGTGCTGGCACTGGCGATAAAATTGACTACCAAGTTTTCACATTGTTTTGTCAGATGAGAGAAGGGTATTGCTTTGCTTGCTCCCTGACCCTCTTTTTGTACTCAACCGTGTCCTGAAAAAAAAAAACCCCAGCATAATCAAATCAGGTGTCAAAGGCAGCCATGCCATGCACATCATGCAAACAAGTGATGTTGCTAAAGGAATTAACGAACCTGAGTGAAGAGCTGGTAAGCATCAGTTTGAGCTGGATCGGCAGGGTTTGGCTGGTCAAGCAACTCTTGAATACCAACTAGAATTTGCTTCACAGAAATAGCTGGTCTCCAGCCCTGAAGACGGAGAACGGAGATGCCAAGGGGAAGAAAGAAAGTCCAAGAGACATAGAAAGAGGCAGGGAGCGGGGGAGGGAAGAAAGGGAAAGAAAGTGGAGGAACGGGAGAAGAGAAGAAGGAAAGAAACGTTTGCTCAGACACAAGCGGCGCTGAAACGAAAAGCAGCATGCGATTGCAAGAGATACTGACATAGTCTTCGTTGAGAATGCTGAGGCACACCGTGCCTGACGGATAGACGTTCGGATGGAAAAAGCCTGGAGGGAACTTGCACTTTGGCGGCTTCGATGGATAGTCTTCCGTAAAGTGTATCGTCAGCGGATAATGGCCACCGTCCCAATCCGTCTGCGATAGAGCGAGTGTTAAATCGAAATGAAGGGAGCAAAACAGATACAGAAAGAGCTATTCGATAGCTACTCACGTCCTTCTTCCCAGGTATAACGCATTTCCATGTCATCATGTCTGTCGAGCCATCATCTTTTGCCTCTGGTCTGGCGACAAATCCCTGCACGGAGTGACAATAGTCCACGTGTCATCCTACGTAAACGGTCAAAACCGCAGCTTGCGAGCATCAAGTCACTCACGACTCACGTGCGGGTGGTTCTTCCGCCAAGCTTTTCGTTCTTCCGTCAGCCTACCCAAAGAGATCCCCGTCATGGAGTCGACGTACAGCAATTAAACTTCTGGCGAGCACGTATCAGAATAAGGGAGTCGTTGAACGTCCAACAGTTCCTAGAAGCACGCTGTTTTGGAGCAGCGCTGACAGATTCAGGACAGGACGGGACTACAGCTCTCTGTTGTTGGTCGCAGTGATCCAGAGAGGTCTGACACCTCGAGAATTGAGGCGGGAAGAAAATGAACCTGGGTCAATACACGCATCTCGCTTCTTTGATGGCCCGACATGGCTACAAAATATGATCACAATTCTTAACATCGTTTATCAAAGAAAATTGCCCATCACAATCATGAACTTCAGGCCACTGTGCCAAACACGCCTGACAAACAACAAAACTTAAGGACTTTTAAAAAAAATATTTGAGACAAATTTTGTACACTTTGAGCTTAGGCTCAAAGGGTTGTCAGCACAACGCATAAACCTATGGGCCGGAACAAGAAATTGCTCCGATATTGCAAATAAGCAACCACACCCTTACTCGTCTACAGCGCCACCATCAACGCCATCTGGAAATGTGACACATTTGTACACTTTACACTTCTGACAGAGCGTCATTCCTAGCTGCAAACACCAAGAGCAAAAGTTCAGCAAGCAGGAGAGAGGAATCAAAACGGGGGAACACACATGCTGCATGGAAGAGGATGCCTCGCAGGTGCAGTGCGAATTGTTGAAATGACAGAAGACTGGGTGCTGCTAGGCCTGTGTGTAGAAGCGTCAGAAGCTTAGGTACCATACACAATAACATGCATGAATGGCCACGTCAGAAACATTTGAGTCAGACTCAAAACGAGGTGACTACAGAGTCTGATTCAAAACTCACTGTCTGTAAAAGCGGTCCAAGATGACCATACACACGTACATGCATGCAGTCACACACAGACTAGCATGCAAACGCGTGCACTTATACACGCACGTCCCCTCATCTCTCCTCTCCAAGCCCCTTCCTTCCCTTTACCCACCAAACCCTCCAAACCACACACAACCTCACAGACTCACGGCGTAGCAGCCAGGGCAGCGGCGGAAGAGGCGTTTGTTGACCTTCACGTTGACCCTCTCCCCTTGGCACACCTCGCACTGCAGCCAGCCCTGGCCGCTGCAGTTCGGGCATGGAATAGTGGAGCTGGAGAGAACAGCCTGGCGACGGCAAGCGTTGGGAGTTAGAAAGGGGGAGATAGAAAGGGCAAGAGAAGAAGAGGCGGTTGTTGCTGGACACGTTGAACCTCTGACCCCACCATGGCCTCTGTGCCCTCTGTCCCCACCACCCTTCACACTGCGACGAGCCTCTCGCTGCTAGGCAGCACAAGGAAATGGAAGGGCTTTGGGGTGGAAACTGGGGGTGGGGAAGGGAGGGACATGTGAGCTGGAACAGACGTCTAGATAGGTCACAGTTATCAGCGACGAGTGCTTCTGGCACCCGTCCAATGCCAGTCCTGCTGCACTGCTGATGTCAGCAGGACTGGCATCAGTAGAAGTGTATCATGAAACTTATAACATGAAGTGTATAACGATTTGTGGTTCACAGGTAATGTGATACAAAATCGTGGTTATAGGTAGCTGCGAAGTATGAAGTGGGGCGTCGGACGGGGGAAATGGGAGCCTCTGGAGGAGAATGGGCGGAAGAACGAGACCCGCGCCTCCGAGGTCAACGGCATCAACGGTGGGCGCGATGCAACAGACGCATCATACGGACGAACCATGAGGCGACAAATTGCAACAAATTGCAACAAATGGATCGCCGAGTCTGTACAGAATGCACGAACCTCCGAGCTCGATGACAACGACGACGACGCGGCCAGTACGACGTTTCGCGTGGAAGCAGCAGCTGCTGACGTGGAAGGTGGTCGTCGGAGAGAGGAGGACGGGCGGCGTAACCTTCCTTCGAGGGTATCAGCAGTTGACATAACGAACTTGCGACCAGAGAGCGGTTGGGAAAATGCTGAAGCGGATCGTTCAGCCCTTCTGTGTAAAGCAGCGCAATCTACGGCGGCTGTGACGGCGGAATGCGGAGCGAGAAGTGAGGTCATGGTTGACGGGGTACTAGTGTAAGAGAGTCAAGACTAACCGAGGGCGATGAGACCAAACGACCGCTAAACGTTAGCGAAAAAACTGGACGACGAGACTGAGCGGGAGCTCAGGAACGATAGCGACGCCAGCCTCCAAGACCACGCCGAGCCTCTTTTCCCGCCAAATCCTCGTCCGCCCCACCTCGTATGCCAACCACTAACTAAACGCACGGCCTGCTGCTCGTGAATTAGCAAGAGCAAAGGTGGAGTGTTTTGGGTATTCTTTATTGAACACGAACTTGTAACATAAGGCAATGAAATTGAACGCTGTAGCAAAAAGCCTAGCTTATTTAATTGAAGTCCCAAATCTCACAACGCGTACCCCTTCCATTGTGCTCCCTTCACCCCACCCCACCAACCCTACGTGTCCGTCGCCGCTGATTGGAGCTCCCATCTTACGAGCGTAACGACGAGTCGATTGTGTCTGTCTGCTGCCTTCCGTACTGCTGGTTGCCGTACCATCCGCGTAGAGGGAGGGAAAGTGAGAAGTTGGGGTGGGTGAATGAGTGAGGGGGCTGTGAGAGAGTGAGGGAATGTGATTGGGATGGGAAAATCGGGTGAGTGCCGGGAGTGAGTGCGGCAGTCGAACTGGAAAAGGGAGTGTGTGGGTCTGTGTGTGTCCGTGTGTCTGTGTGTGTGTGGATGTGTGTGTTTGTATTTGTCTTATTGTCGGCGTGAGTGTGGAGCGTTGCCTGCCAGTTGTAGTAACCAACCAAGCTCCACTCCGCTCTGCACGGCCGCACTGAGTGAGACCTCCCAATTACCTTCTTAGGGCACAACTTGCTTAGTAACTCGGCGAACCGTACATATATTTTAGGTTACGGACGGCAGCCAGATAACATACGCGAAATGGAGCTTATACGTGGGTGCTGGAGGATAGTGAGAACTAAACACGTCCTTTCATGACGTTATTATATTTTATTGAGGATAGCTGTTTACAGATAAGTAAGGACACTGGAACTGTAATGGAATGGACGTCATCAACGGCAGCTGGAAGTTAGTCAGGTCGATCAGCCGCATCGGACGGACCAGAGGGCGAGGTAATGTCATCAACGGCTAGCCATCGTTCTCCTGAATATAAGTTTCGTCGTCCTTCTGTCCCTCAACCGTCAAAGCCGCTTCGACGAATCTTAACCAACAGTTTAGACTCGAATCGACTGTTGAGAAGTCGACTTGAATGTCGTATTAGGTTTCCATGCTCCACATATTAGGAGACAAGATGTTAGTACACCGACTAGTCCTCGTTCCCGAGACGTCCCACAGTCTCTCGTGGCGATGCGTCTGACGTCACTAGCTAGTCTGTACTCCAAAGACCACGGAACAGTTTCAATCGTGAAGCTCAAATTTTATCCGCCTCCTCGTGTCAACTCCCCAAGTCGTTTCAACTCCTCCCTCCACCCATCCCCCTCCCCCCCCCGGCCTTCCCCGGCCCTTTTCCCGAAACCAGCCATATGACGACTTAGTGATGTAAATAGGCTCGTCGGCAAGAAAGGAAATTCCTTCTCAAACATCTTTAAAGAAACGTTTCCCCTCTCCCCCTCCCTCTCCCCCCTCTCCCTTCCCCCTCCCCCACCATTTCCCCCTCACCCTCCCCCTTCCCCTCCCCTCCCCCCCTCTCCCCTCACCCCTCCGCGCGCTCCCCCCTGGTATCCCTTAGATGGCGAGCGGGAGATCGAGATAGGCGCGCCGACGGGAGTGAGCCACGTGACGCACGCCATGCACGTGACCTTCGATCGTTTCCAGGGCTTCCTCGGCCTCCCGAGTTGTGAGGCGCCTCAAGACTCCCCTCCCCCTTCCCCCTTTACCACCCTCCCCCGCAGATGACGAGCGGGAGATCGAGATAGGCGCGCCAACAGGTGTGAGCCACGTGACGCACGTCACCTTCGACCGCTTCCAGGGCTTCCTCGGCCTGCCGGATGACTTCCATGGAGAGCTGCCCGCACGAGCTCCCAGCGCCAGGTAGAGGAGGGATTGTAGGTCAGGTGAGCTGCCTCTGACGTTGCTTCTCAAGTCGCTTCCAGGGCTTCCTCGGCCTGCCTGACGACTTCCACGGGGAGCTGCCGGCACGAGCCCCCAGCGCCAGGTGATTATCAAGGGGGAATGAGGGACAAGTTCTTCTGACGTTGTCTCCTTCCTTTATTTTCAGAGGGCTTCCTCGGCTTTCCAGACGGCTTGTAGGGATGGCCCGGTCAAAGCATTCACCTGCCCCACACACACACCCCAACCTCCCGTCTCACCTTTCCCTTTCCCCCTCTTGCTCCCCGGCCAGCCGGACGGTGTTTGGGGTGCGGCCAGAAACACTGCAGTGTTCGCACGACTTGGAGGGCAACCAGGTGCCGATGGTGCACCTCTCCTCACACCCTTGCACCTCCTCCCGCTTCCCCCTCTCCACACTCCCCCACACCCCCGCTCCTCCCCTGCCACCGCAGCCGGACTGTATTTGGGGTGCGGCCAGAGACGCTGCAGTGTTCACACGACCTGGAGGGCAACCAGGTGCCGATGGCGCACGACTTGGCGCGACTTGGCGCACCTCTCCTCACACCCTTGCATCTCCTCCCTTTTTCCAATTTATTCCACCCTCCACCTCCTCGCCCTGCCCGGTCAGTCGGACTGTGTTTGGGGTGCGGCCAGAGACGCTGCAGTGTTCGCACGACTTGGAGGGCAACCAGGTGCCGGACATTCTGCTGCAGCTGCAGGCGATGCTTTACGGCAAGAACGGGCTGCAGGTGGGTGCTGTGCTGGTGGTGATGCTGCCTGGGTCCCATGTGTGTAAAGCAAGCAAACAGGTTCCGGGCATTCTGCTGCAGCTGCAGTCGCTGCTCTACGGCAAGAATGGGCTGCAGGTGCGTGTGGGGTGGTGGTGGTGCTGCTGCTGCCTGTGTTGGGTGGATGTGTATGTGAGTGAAGCCTGCAAACCCTTGCCAATTTGCTGCTCCCTTGATCGCCACCCTGCCAGCCAAGCCAACCAACCATCCCACCCGCCACTTTAACTTGCCAATGCGTTCTTGAGTTCTTCCCCTTGCTGCCTCACTGCTCACGTCCTCCTCTCCTCTCCCATCCGCAACCAACCGTCCTCTCCCATCCCCAACCCTCTTCGTCCCACGCCCTTCCCTGGAGGGAGACAGACGGAGGGCATATTCCGAGTTGCGGCACAGAACGACCATGAGGACTGGATCCGCGAGCAGGTGGGTGGGTGTCTCCCTTTCTGTCTTTGTGCTTTCTGATGACAAGGCAGTACGGCTGATGGTTGATGAGGCCATCTGGTTTGCTTGCTTACTGCCTCATCAGCCATCAGCCGTAGCATCGCTCTTTCCTCCTCGCCTCGCCACCACCCTCACGCTTCATATTTTCGTATTACACCTCACCTCCTGCTGTTGGTGTTCGTCCTTTCTCCTCGTCACCTCCCTTTCATACGATTGTATGGTCCTGGATCTCTTTCCCTCCGTTTCTCTCCCTCCATTCAGTCCTCTCTCTCCCTCTGTCTCTCCCTCTCCATGTGCTCCCCTCGCCTCGCCTCGCCTCGCCTCACCTCCCCTCTCCTTCCCTCCCCTCGCCTTGGGCCTCGTATCGTCCATTGCATTGCAGGTCAACCTGGGTCTGGTGCCGCGCAACATTGACGTGCATGCCATCGCAGGCCTCATCAAGGTAGTCAACCCACCCTCCCTCCGCTCTGCTCTGTTCTGTTCCTCTCCCTTCGCTCATTCCTCACCCTCCTTCCCTTCTCTCTCCTCTCACTCCTCCTCTCTCGTCTCACCCGTCTCTCCCTCCTCTCCCTCCATCCATATCCCATCCGTATCTCATCTTCCCCTCTTCCCCACCCTCTTGGTTTTCCCTTGAATGCCCCGACACCCCCCTTCCCTCCCCTCAACCTCATGCAGGCGTGGTTCCGTGAGAAGGTGGCAGCGGCGGAGAGGGAGGAGCAGATGCTGGCGCTGCTGGCCACTCTGCCCGCCCTCCCTGACCTGTACCCCCACCCCCGCACCCTCCCACTCAATGCAGGCGTGGTTTAGGGAGTTACCAGAGGGCTTATTGGACCGGCTGAAGCCAGAGAAGGTGGCAGCGGCGGAGAGGGAGGAGCAGATGCTGGCACTGATAGCCACTCTGCCCGCCCTGCAGGCCGGCATGCTCCAATGGGCCGTGAGCCTCATGCCTCCCCCCCTGCCTTGTACCCCCTTCCGCATCCCCATCCGCATTCCCATCCCTATCCCCACCCCCCCCTTTTCCCTCCTCCTGGTATTCCCGTCCCCCTCCTCCACCTCCGCTTCTTCCAGGCGTGGTTTAGGGAGCTACCAGAAGGCTTATTGGACCGCCTCAAGCCAGAGAAAGTAGCGGCAGCAGAGAGGGAGGAGCAGATGCTGGCACTGATAGCCACGCTGCCCGCCCTGCAGGCCGGCATGCTGGACTGGGCCGTGGGTGGGGCTCATGCCTCGTGCCTCTCCCCCCTTCCTCCGTCCCTTCTCCTTTATGCAGGCATGGTTCAGAGAGCTACCAGAGGGTCTACTCGACCGCCTGAAACCTGAGAAAGTAGCAGCAGCGGAGAGGGAGGAGCAGATGCTGGCACTGATAGCCACGCTGCCGGCGCTGCAGGCCGGCATGCTGGACTGGGTGGTGGGGTTGATGGCGGATGTGGTGCAGCACGAGGCCAGCAACAAGATGAACGCTCATAACATTGCTGTTGTCTTTGCACCCAACATGACCCAGGTGGGTTGTGTGGGGTGATGTGTCGGGTGAATTGGGGAACGGTTTTGCTGGGTTGGGTGGTGGGTTGGGGTAGGTTGAGGTGGGGCGGTAGTTTCCAGTGGTCTGGAAGGTGGACTGGACGGTGGGGCTCATGGCGGACGTGGTGCAGTACGAGGCGAGCAACAAGATGAACGCGCATAACATTGCTGTCGTGTTCGCACCCAACATGACCCAGGTGGGTGGGGAGGGTTGGAGGGTGGATGAGGTGGGTTGGGGGGTGTGGCTCGGTTTGAAGAGGTCTGGAACCTTGACTGGGCGGTGGTGCAGCACGAGGCGAGCAACAAGATGAACGCGCATAACATTGCTGTCGTGTTCGCACCCAACATGACCCAGGTGGGTGGGGAGGGTTGGGGGGTGGATGAGGTGGGTTGGGGGGTGTGGCTCGGTTTGAAGCGGTCTGGAACCTTGACTGGGCGGTGGTGCAGCACGAGGCGAGCAACAAGATGAACGCGCATAACATTGCTGTCGTGTTCGCACCCAACATGACCCAGGTGGGTGGGGAGGGTTGGAGGGTGGATGAGGTGGGTTGGGGGGTGTGGCTCGGTTTGAAGAGGTCTGGAACCTTGACTGGGCGGTGGTGCAGCACGAGGCGAGCAACAAGATGAACGCGCATAACATTGCTGTCGTGTTCGCACCCAACATGACCCAGGTGGGTGGGGAGGGTTGGGGGGTGGATGAGGTGGGTTGGGGGGTGTGGCTCGGTTTGAAGCGGTCTGGAACCTTGACTGGGCGGTGGTGCAGCACGAGGCGAGCAACAAGATGAACGCGCATAACATTGCTGTCGTGTTCGCACCCAACATGACCCAGGTGGGTGGGGAGGGTTGGGGGGTGGATGAGGTGGGTTGGGGGGTGTGGCTCGGTTTGAAGAGGTCTGGAACCTTGACTGGGCGGTGGTGCAGCACGAGGCCTGCAACAAGATGAACGCCCATAACATCGCCATTGTCTTCGCGCCCAACATGACCCAGGTAGGCTGGGTTTGAGGGGGTGAATTGGGTGGGCTGTTGAGTGGTGGCTCGGGTTTGAGGGGGTGAATTGGGTGGGCTGTTGAGTGGTGGCTCGGGTTTGAGGGGGTGAATTGGGTGGGCTGTTGAGTGGTGGCTCGGGTTTGAGGGGGTGAATTGGGTGGGCTGTTGAGTGGTGGCTCGGGTTTGAGAGGTGGGTGGGTTGCCAGGTGGCCCAGGTGGGGTTTTTGGGTAGCCCAGGTGGGCTGCCAGGTAGCTCAGGTGGGGTTTCAGGCGATTCAGAAGGCAGCACGAGTGGTGGGGAAGGGTGGTGGAGAGTAATGGTGGGAAATCCCATGTTTTATCCTGCCTTCTCTGCCCCTCCTCCTCGCTCTCCTCTCTCCCTTTTCTCACCCTTCTCTCCCCGCTGTTCCCCTCCCCTCTCCCCCCTTTCCCCCTCAGATCGTAGACCCACGCATCGGCTTCCAGCACGTCATCAAGCTCATGGACCTGCTCAGAGCGCTTCACACTTTCCCCTTCCTTTCCCCTTCTCCCTCCCCCTCATCCCACCTCTCTCCCACCAGATCGTAGACCCCCTCATCGGCTTTCAGCACGTCATCAAGCTAAACCCTGCTCAGAGGACTCGTGCAGCGAGTGATGAGAGCGCAGCAGAGGCAACATACCCTTCCTCCTTTTTCCCCCTTCCCTCCCCACCAGATCGTCGACCCACTCATCGGCTTTCAGCACGTCATCAAGCTGATGGACCTCCTCAGAGCGCTCGTGCAGCGCAAGATCAAGCAGCGGCTCGACAACCCCCCTCCGCCCGACGCTCCTCTCACGGACCAAGCAGCTCAGGATGGGGCAGAGGAGGCGGAAGCGGGGAGGGAGGAGGAGGGGCAGGTGCAGGGCGGTTCAGGCAGCTGTGGTGGTGGGTTTCTGGGGAATGGTTTACAGCATGAAGAGGAGGAGCATGGGGAGGAAACAGAGGAGCATGAGGAGGAGGAGGAGGAAAAAGAGCCGTTATCAGATGAGTGCACAACACCTATGGCCGAAGACGACCCCCACACGCCCATTGCCAGACCTCTCGTCCCCGAGCCTCTCCTTTCCGAGCCTCTCTTTCCCGGACCTCTTGCCGAGCCTCCGTTTGGTTCGCCTAGTAGAATGGGAGAGAGGAGAGGCGGAGGAGGAGGGGAGGGAGGAGGGGCGGTGGAAGGACGAGGGGGGAGAAGAGGTCGACCAAGCAAAGGGAGAGGGGCAGGGCGAGGGGGGAGAGGGATCGGGCGAGGGGCAGAGGGAGAAAGAGCGGCACAGGGAGTTGCAGGAGTAGCAGGAGTGGGAGGGGTATCGGGAGGGGTTGGAGGGGTAACAGGAGGGTTTGGGGGGGTTGGAGGGAGCCGAGGGTGTGGTGTTCCCGCGTGCGAGAGTGAGGAGGTGCAGGGGGCAACGTGGGAGCTTGATAATAGGCTCGATGGGGACAGTGCATGCGATCGGCTAGAGGGGAGCAGCGGCAGCGAGGGGGAGGCAGTGGTGTGTCATGGGTGGGACATGATGCCAGCTGTAACCGGCAATTCGCTTCCTGTTTCAACCAGTGCTGGCGATTCCGCACACCAGCGGCAGCAGCAGCAGCAGCAGCAGCAGCCGTTTAAGCCGGCGTGGAAGCAGCGCGGTGCAGAGCGGTGCAGCACGTTGAGCATGGAGTGCGGGCTGAGCATGGACGGCAGCATTAGCATGTTCAGCCCAAGCGGCGGGGGCGTGCTGAGTCCCTGTGAAAGCATAGACAGCCCAGGGGGGGTGCTTGCCACACCCGTGGGCCTCCCAGGGGGAGCTGCTGCTGCTGCTGACCCTGCTTTCTTCCTGAGGTTCCGCAGCGATGCACGGGAGCAGCAGGGGTTTCCCCCTCAGGCGATCGTGCATCAGCAGGTGATCCTGCCTGCTGCTCCCCCAGTTGGGGGGACGGTTGGCCTCTACGCACGGGCACATGCAGCTGCTGCTGCTGCTGCTTCCCCTGCTTCCTCCCCTGCTGCTGCGCTTGGGTTGGTTTCCTCAGCAGCAGGCAGTGCGGCCTCCTCTCCCACTGCACCGAGCCTTGCAGCAAGCCCTGTGGCCTTCTCTCCCACAGCAGCAAACCCTGTTGCCTCCTCTCCCACCACCACCGGCACCCCCAGTCCAGCGGGTGAGAGGCGGCACGGAGGGCACAAGGGAGGGTTTAAAGGCGACCTGTGGTCCAGACGGAAGGGGCCTGCTGTTCCCCACTCCCGCCTCTCCCTCCCTGCCGCTTCTTCCCCTTCCTCTGCTGCTGCTGCCTCGGCTTCTGCTGCTGCTGCTTGTGCCAACGATGGTGCTTACCCGGCTAATGCCAGTGCTTCTCGCACTGCCAGCAACAGCAGTGCTGGCAGCGATGCTGCTGCTGCTGCCAGAGCTGGCACCAGCAGTGGTGACCTGACACCCACCCCTCCCGCCAGCAGCGGTGGTCTCACACCCACCCATCCCCTCACGCCCACTCCTCCCCTGATGCCCGTACCCCCCTCCCGTTCGATCAAGGACCCCTCCTCCCATTCCGCCTCACCTCTGCGCTCGCCTCTGCTGGGCCGCAGACGAGGGTATAAAGAGAAGAAGCACTCTCCGGGTAGCAAGCAGCAGCAGCAACAAGCAGTGCTGGCGTCGACACCAGCAGCAGCAGGGGCAGCAGGGGCAGCAGGAGCAGTGGGAGCAGGGAGTGATTTTGCCCCAGCGTTCACCCCCCGCACAGGGTTTGGTGCTGTTCCAGGCACACCCCCTTCTGAGGCCGCTCAGAACCCTGCTGTGACTCCCCGGTCGTTCCTCTCCCGCTCCCGGCAGTTCCCAGGAGGGTCGGGGTTTGGTGCGGTTCCCGGCACGCCCCCGCCTCACTCCCCCCGCCTATTTCCCCTTTCGCCGCGGAATTTCTTCAGAAAACACAAGTCGGAGGCAGGAGCGGAGAGGAGAGACGGGGGAGAGAGAGACGAGGGGAGAGAGGGAGGAGAAGGGAGAGAAGAACGTGAGGGGCATGAGCATCATTTGCAGCACTCTAGGCTGATGGTGGTGGATGCAGGTTCAGGCAACCACGTGGGGGAATCAGGAGCCATTTCAGGCCACATGGAAGGGGCGGCGTTTCCAGAAGCAGGTGGTGTGGTTGGTCGAGACGGGGAGGGAGGGGCTTGTGCTGTTTCTCATGCTGGTTCCGTTTCTCATGCTGGTTCCGTTTCTCAAGCTGGTTCCGTTTCTCTAGTTGGTGCTGTTCCCCAAGTTGGTTCTGCCCCTCGGTTGCCGACTAGCTGGTCGGACACGCAGTGTGCTTTCGAGAGCTCTCCACGCCAGGATGATTCCATGAAGAATCACATGGGGCAGCAGCAGCAGCAGCAGATGCAGTGGCGTGACAGCAGCACGGGGAATTTGGGAGAGCGCACGGTGGAAACGGGGGGAATAGGAGGAACGGGATGGGCAGCGGTAGAAGCAGCAGGGGCAGGGGCAGCAGCGGCGACACCAACAGGAGGGCGGCCAAAGTCGAGTGGGGGGTGGCGGAGGGGGTGGTCGGGGCCTCATGGGGTGGCAGGGGTGGGTAAGGGCATGCACCTGCTCAGTCCACACAGGGGCGATGCACAAAGGGGGCATTGGGATTCCGCTGCGGCTGCTGCTGCTGCCGCTACTGCTAGTGTTGGTGCTGGTGCTGCTGCTGCTGGTGCTGGTGCTGGTGCTGCTGGTGCTGCTGCTGGTGCCACTGTTGCCAGTGGTGCCAACCCAGGCGGTTCGGCCAGCAGGAGTGGCCGAACGAAGCTAGGAGCAGCAGGTTCAGGGCTAGCAGCAGCAATGAAAACATCAGTGAAAACATCAATGAAGGTACTCGCGCCTCTCGCACCCACCAAGACCTGGGCTTCAGGCATGGGCGATATGTTTGGGGCCAAGTCCCCCCGCGCCCTCCTTTCCCCGCATTCTCTCCTCTCCCCCCGTGGCTTCCTCTCCCCCAGCGGTTTCCGCTCCCCCCGCCCCTCTGGGCATGGGGAGAGCGCGGATCGGGGGAACGGGGGAGATGAGGGGGGTGGCGGGGATGGGAGGGACAGCGGATATGGGGTAAGTAGGGTGGATAGGGCTGGCAAGGCGGGTTTCTTAAGAGGTGAAGAGGGGAAAGGAGGGAGAGAGGAGGGAAGAGAGGAGGGAAGAGAGGAGGACGGGGAGGAGAGGCGATTCCCAGCCGAACGGGCGTCTCTTGACTTGCCTGTCAAATCCCCAAGGTCATTTCGGAAACTAACCCGGAGGTCGAGCGGGTTTCAGCTGCCGACGCGGGCAGCAGTAGCAGCAGCAATGACCCTCCCCTCCTCCCTCTCCATGAAAGAGCGGCGCTTTGATCCATCAGCACCCGCCATTTTCTCCCTCCCTCCCTCCGCTTCTCTCTCGTCTGCCCCCTCCTCTGCCTCCCCTTCCTCGGCTAAGCCTCCCTGGGGGTCTGGGTCTATGCAGGAACGGCTGCAGCACCTGCAGCAACAGCCGCAGCAGCAGCAGCAGCAGCAGCAGCGCCTGGTGCAGGCTCGGCAGCAGGAGGTCCGGCAGCCGGAGGCTCGGCAGCACGAGGCTCGGCAGCAGGAGGCTCGGCAGTCGGGCGTCGCCCAGGCACCGCAGGAGGGTCGGATGCGGCAGGTTCGGAAGGGGAAGGTGCAGCTGCCTCGGGCTATTTCAGCAGATCAGTATCAGCAGCACGATGGAAGGGAGTTCTTCCAGGAACAGCTATCGCTGCAGCAACAGCACCTTCAGCAGCAGCAGCAGCAGCAGCAGCAGCAGCAGGAGAAGCAGCAGCAGCAGGAGAAGCAGCAGCAGCAGCAGCAGGAGCAACAGCTGCAGCAGCAGAGGGTTCCTCTAGAGAAGGCAAGCAGTGCATGGGCCAAGCGGTCAAAGCAAGGGGGGCAGAGACACGGGCAGGCACGGAGAGAAGGGGTTAGTGGTGGCGACGGTGGTAGCGGTGGTAACGGTGCAGGTGGGTGGCATGGTGTGGCTCGTAGCGTGTCGGTGGATGTTGTAACACACAGCATGGCTTCTCAGGCAGATGCAGTGGGGGGAAACTCTGGAGCAGGAGGAGGAAGGGAGGGAGAAGGAGGGGGAGGAGGAGCAGGAGGAGCAGGAGTAACAGGAGGAGTGGGAAGGGTGAGAAGACATGCAGGGGGGGTTGTGAGTGCGAGTGGCAGTGGTGAGAGAGAGAGAGCGCCAACACAAGGGAGACCACGCGTGCCCATGCCAAGGTCTGAATCCGAGTCGATCCCACGCTCCTCCAGTTTCAACAGCCCTCACCAGCCACCGCTGCCGCAGCAGCAGGTGCAGGGATTGCAGTCAGCAGCAGCAGCACAGCAGGAGAGGCCATGCGTGCCGATTGCACGGTCAGAGTCCGAGGCAATCCCTAGGTCGTCCAGTTTCAACAGCCATCACCAGCCACCGCTGCCGCAGCAGCAGGTGCAGGGAGGTCAGTCGTCTGATAACCCCAGGTCGGTTACTCGGTCGTCCAGTTTCAACAGCCACCACCAACCTCTGCAGCCGCAGCAGCCGGAGCAGCCGGTGCAGAGTTCGCACTCATCAGACCACTCAAGGTTGGTTCCGCGGTCGTCCAGTTTCAACAGTAACCACCAGACTCTGCAGCCGCAGCTGCTGCAGGGATCGCACTCAACAGCAGCGGCACAGCTGCAGCAGCAGGTGCAAGGTGCACACACGTCTGACCACTCAAGGTTGGTTCCCCGGTCGTCCAGTTTCAACAGCCACCACCAGCCATTGCCACCATATCACCCACCGTCACAACCGCCAACAGCAGCAGGACCAGCAACACCACCGGCATTATCACCTCTGCAAAAGCAGCAGCAGCAGCAGCAGCAACAGCAACAGCAACACCCAGGTGACAACCTCAGGCCTTGGGGCCATGTCCCAACCGCCACTTCAGGCTCGAGGCCTGGCTCGGGCCAAGGCTCCAGGCCCGGGTCGAGGCCTGGATCCAGGTCCGGATCCAGACCTGGATCGTCACATGGGATTGGGAGAAGTGGGTCTGGTTCGGTACCGAGCCAAGATTTTCCCTCGGCTGCTGGTGCTGCTGCTTCGGCCTTGACTGAAGGATTACCAAGCGAGAGTAGAATGGGGTCTGGTGGTGTAAGATTAGGGGTAGGAGCAGTTGGGTTACCCAGGAGAAAGAGTACAAGGTAGTAGAGGCAGTGGGCATATTTGTATTGTAATGCTGGAGAAATTGGTGTGTTTTGGCTGAAATATGCAGGGGTAGTGGGCTGCTTAGGAATATCTTGCTGCGCAATTGTCTTGTTGGAAAGGTAGTATAGGCCTAAGGTAGTGCAGTGCGATGCAATGCTGTGTAATGTAGAAAGAAATCCTGATGTCTGCGGCCTGCCTCAGCACCTACCCTACTGCATGCTTGGGAAACAAAGAGCCATGTCTCATGTACTGTACAGTAATGTTTTCCTGGATACCTACAGTATGTGCTACCATGTGCTCAGCTACATTAGAGTATTATAAAATATATAATGTTGGAGTATTGAATATCAGGGAGCCCCACCACGAATAGCACGATGCTTGTAAGGAAATCTGCGTGTATACATTAGACCTGGTGAGAGATAACGCCCCCCTTTGGTAAGAGAGACCGTAAGTGAGAGGAGTCTGCTCGATTAATCTCCATCCACGGGTCTTCCGTCCGTCCATTGGACACTGATCATGTGGATATACCAGTAGTTTGAAGGTTCTAGTGAGGTTGCTCCAAACTTGCAACTTTATTGCTTCGGTGTGGGTGGGGCCACACAGGCAGGTAATAGCATCACACCTGTTGCTGCAAGAATGGGAGGAACCCGTTAGTAAATACACATTAGTAGATCGACAGTTGCAGATCAGCTTTAGTAGATCGACGGTTGTAGATCAGCTTTAGTAGACCGACGGTTGTAGACCAGCTTTAGTAGATCGACGGCTGCAGATCAGCTTTAGTAGATCGACGGCTGCAGATCAGCTTTAGTAGAGATCGACGATAACACGCCACGCTCCGCAACACACCCGCCCACACCAAGTTCCGAGTACGATATAACTCTCACCCCGCACTCTGTTTCGGGACGACTATGGTAACAGAGAGCGCGGTGGTACACCACCAGCAGCAAGGCTCCACCAGCTCCACCAGCATCACCCAAGCTCCACACCACCGCACTGACACTCAAAACACCCCGGCAGCACACGGATCAGGGGGTTTAGGTTTTAATATCGAATTTTGTAATCATGATCTTGCTGACGCGACTGATGCGCGGGATGAGCTGTGGCGGGGATGCGGCCATGACCCTGCTGACGTGGCTTCCTCGAACCACACCTCCAGGCGCTGCGCGACCAGCGACACGGGGGAAACGGGGGTTGCGCCTTCGTCGCGCGCGGCGCGTCCGCGCGAGTCGCCCGCCAGGCTGAGAGGACGGATAGACGGGTAGTACCGCGGCGAGACCGCGCGGCATTGAACCCGCGAAACGTCACCACCCGACGGGTTTACGTTAGAGACTGACGGTCCGGCGGAATGCGCTTCGTGACGGCCACACCGCGGCGCGCAGGTTGCAGCGGCCGCAGGCCGAGAATAGTACAGCTGATGACGCCGCGGATTAAGCCCGTGGTGATCGTGGCCGTTGGATGACGGCCCCGCGCCGCCCCCGCGCGGCGTGATCATCGCAGCGCTTCGCCCGGACGGCACCTGTAGTACTAGCCGGTGATTCGCCTGTCGCGACTGCGACCGCGGCTGCCGCTCCTCTTCTCCTTCCGTCATGATCTGCCGCGATTGCTCGTGCTGGTCGCGATATCCCATCTCCTGGGCGGCGATGCGAAATCGCTGCTGCTGCGCGTGGGCTTCGCGGCAGAGATTGGATCGCGGGCAGCTGTACTCGGACCGCGGGCAGCTGTACTCGGACCGCGGGCAGTTAGAAGCGTGAGCGGCTGCGCAAGCGGGCAGCGGAGAGTCGTGGTGTCGGAGCGCGGTGGCGGCGGGCAGCGGGCGCGTCGACGTCGGTGAGGAACTCGGCGGGGAGAAGGGTAGCGGCGAGGACGGGGCGGAGGGCGCGAAGTGGGCGGAGGGCACGAAGTGGGCGGAGGGGGAGATGTGGGCGGAGCGGGAGAAATGGGCGGAGGGCGAGAAGTGGGCGGAAGGGGAGAAGTGGGCGGAGGGCGAGAAGTGGGCGGAGGGCGAGAAATGGGCGGAGGGCGAGAAATGGGCGGAGGGCGAAAATGGGGCGGAAGGGGAGAAAGGGGACAGGGGCGACAGGCGGCGTTTGAACTCACAGCTGCGGCCAACATGGCACCTGATTTGATCAGCCCCGCAACAGTTTTCCCCAGTGGCTAGTCGGACTCCCACAGCAGCAGCCTCTGCCTCCCTTCCACTGCCTCCTGCCCCGCCGTCACTCGCAGCCGCGCCGCCAGCTGTAGCGGTTTTCCGCGACGCTGCTGCTGCTGCTGCCGGCGGGGAATACGGCTGGCCGCGGAAATTCGCCAGCCACTGCAGGCTGCGCTGCGTGCGCGGGGAAGGATGCGCGGGCTTGGGGTAGGCGGGCGGCGACGGGACCTCCACACAAAAGAGTCCGCCAGCCCCGTCTTCCCCTCTGAGCGGAAGCGTTTTCACCCGCCGAATGGCGCTCGGGCCTGTCGCGGCTGCGGCTTCTTCCAGGAAAAACGCGCCGTCCGCCGCCACTGCGCCCGCGCCGCTGCTGCTGGGCGACGCCGCGCGCGCCGTATTCCGTGGACTCGTTCGACGCCGCGTGATCGTTCGCGGGCCGCCGGCCGCCGCTGCGCACCTAGTCGGACTCCCCTGACTGTCTCGCAAAGAATACTCCCCCGCCGCCGCCGCCGCCGCTGCCGCAGCAGCAGCAGCCACAGACGCGGCCGCAATATTTGGGGGGGATAGGTCGGCCCATACTAATGTGTCTCGGCGGTAGTCTGGCGGCCGCAGGACCCGTTGCGCGCAAGGGGAAACGGATGGCGGTGAAACTTCCGAGGATGGGGAAACCGACTGTGGTGACTCGACTGAGAGCGCTGTTGGTTGTTGAAATTTCTCGAGTGCCAGCTGGACAGATCGGCGACTTGATGTAGTAGCGCCGCTAAAAGAGCGGCTCCCCATGGTTGTTAAGCCTCGTTCCACGCGCCTCGCGTACACCTGCGCCGCGGCTGCCGTCGCCGCCGCCATCGCCGTCGAGGAGACGCCGGTGAGGCGCGGCTGTGCCCCAACCGCAACCGGCGGGTTCTGCGTTCTTGACGGCGACAGAAGCGGCAGACAGTGCGGCGGCTTATGCCGCGGCGAGCCTCCCAAACTCCTACTAGTAGTACTATTCCTGTACCTGCAGCCATCCGAGTCGGGCCCCGCTATTGTCGCCGATTTGACGAGGTGCGGACGACGATCCCTGTTGAAGCCACCTTTTTCGCTGGCAGCGGATGCGACGGCTGCGGCGGCTGCGGCGGCGCAGATGGAGCGTCGATCAGAGCAGTACTGAGCACCTCTTCGCGCCGCGTCGTTCGCGGCGCGATGGCTTACAGAATCGCTGCTGCTGCGGCGAGGGCTGGGCGCAATGTCGTGGCTTTCCGCCGCGGCGCCTTCCGCCGCGAATGTTTCCAGCTCGACCGGGTGGTGGCGATTTCCGGCGGAGGTCGCGCTGATGCTCCGCGCGACGTCATTCCCACGATGCGCCGCGGCGACGACATTACCGAATCGCGGCGCGTTTTCACAATCCGGCGATGCGCCTTGATGACCATCTGACGGTGGCATGGCGGCGGGGCTCGAAGGTATAGCAACGCGGAGCTGCAACCGGCGGGGTCCGCCGGACTCCGGACCGGCTGCGCGTTTTGGTTCCTGGCCGCGCTGATGCTCTCCGCGTTCAGGCGATAAAAGTAGCTTCCGTGGCGCGCAAGAGACTTGAAGAGGCTGGACTTGCGAGTTAACTAGTGATGGCTTGGCTACAGTCTGAGGTTGTAGCAGTGTTCCCGCGGCTCGAAGGGGTAGCTCCACGCGGGGCAGCGGTGACACCCGACCGCGCCGCGCGACCAATGGCGTGCTGCTGCTGCGCGGTGCGACATTATCCGCGCTGCCGCTGGTGGTGGTAGTAGGATCGCTGTTCGAAGTTTCCGATCTGCTAGTGCTGCCAGAAGAAGTGTTGAGGAAATCAAGGGCACTGATGCTGCTGGTGCTGCTGCTGCTAAGTGAAGGATTCGTGGTGGTTAGCATGCCGGGCTATGCGCTCGTGGGCTTCGGTGTGGCAAGCAAGGAGACCGTTGGGAGGGAGGGCTATCTGGAGTGTGTGGCAAAATTCAGAGGTATTGCACAGGCTGCGACCGCAAGCATCCTGCGAGGCTGTCAGCAGCTGCTGTGCTGTGCTGTATTCCACAGGCAGTGAGAAAGGGTTTGAAGCTCCCCCCCACCCACACGAACAAAGTTCCGACTGCCGGGCCGAGTCGTAAACTGCGCAGGGTAGTGCCGCCGAGCCGAAACAAGCTAGGCTGACGTGAGGGAGTAGTTTTTAGAGCGTGTCCGAAGTGAAGCGTCGAATGGATGTCGATGGATGTCGGTAAATTTCAACCCTCGGATCGAGAGTTCCAACCGTCAGGATTTACCGACATCGGATGTCAATGGATGTCGACTTCACTTAGGAAACTGTAGGAAGGCCGAAACGTATACTGTATGGAAATTTATACACGTGTCGTGGGACGGATTGCAGGAGATTGGAGAGCTCACTACATCCATCAATCACATGCAAATTCTATGCAAACCAATGCATTGGTTGGAATGTAAGTCCCGTGGTGAGTTGCGAGCGAATCGTGGTCAACAAGCAGGCAAGCTCGGTTTGACGCGACGCGAAAGTGGTGGCGAGTCGAATCGGGCTGAAGGACAGACCGGACAGCGCAAGCAAGTGGACGACCTAGCTGGCAGCCACGATCTCAGCTGCAGAGCAGAACGCCCTAACGCTGAGTCAGCGTTGCGTGATCGAAGGACTTTTGCCCGTCTCCAACGGACTTGGTGAGACGTTGAGGTAACGAACGAACGATGAGGAGGCAAGTCAGGAAATGCCTCGTTGGCGACGAAACGTGCGAACAAAGGATGAACGAACTTGCCGTCATTGCAAGTGTTGGCTGTTACGTGTACAGCCAAGTTTCACGGATGTGCGCTGGAAAGGGAAAGTACAAAAATCGGGTCAGTCAAAAATATCGACGCGTAGGAAAACGAAAATATCAAATCGACACTGGTGCTGAGTTGGAAGGTGAAGCTTGTGTGGAGCAGGGCTGACGATTCAAGGGCAAATGCCCTTAATGCCCTGAACATTAAGGGTTGGGTTCGGCCCAGCTTCCGAATTTTAAGGGCTGGCTTTGAGGGCAGCCCTTTTCGCAAAGTGCTGGTTGTGGGCCTAACCCGGATTTCAAGTGCAGATCCCGCGGCTAGCCCTTATCGTCCCATACTAATACCTCCCTCCCTCCCATTCGCTAACCAGTCCCCCCACCTCCTCCCAGCCACTCCCCTACTTCCTTTTCCCATCCCCGTCAAATCCATCGACATGTTTCGTACCTCAGACTATTGCCTAGCTGGCTCTTAGTAGTTTGCCTAGGAAAGGACCCGAAGAGATGTAGGTTTTCCTTAGCGAAAGTGCAGAAAAGTTGGTAGCCCTGATTTCAAGTTCCAGGTTTGCTCTCAGCCCGTAAATTTCAGGGCAACTTTTGGGGCACCTCAGCCTCTCAAGTTCTGGCTCCAAACCAATCGACAGCCCTGGTGTGGAGTAATCGCCAGCACGTGTAAAGTTCCTCCGCTGGAGGAGTGCGTGACCACTATTCCAGCGCAATTTCAGTTGACTAGTCGGCAAAAGTCGTCACTGTTTCTGACTGTTGGGTGTGCATACTAGAAAAGGGTTATTTCAATATACTCGCTAGATGCTAATGCATTAGCATCTGAAGTACAGAATATTAGGTGTGTTGAGTAGCAATTCTAGCAATTGTGACTGAATGAAGTGAGCACGCAACGCTAGCATAGGTAAGCGTAGAAAGGTTTCCTAGATATACAGGGACGTCAATATCAGATATATTGATGTCACAAAAAAAAAAACGATTGATCTGATGGTTCGTTTTTTTAACATGCTTTCTTAGTTTCACCTTATCCATGTGTGTGTTTCTCCTTCACATTTTTAGATTACTAAAGGTTACTCGTGTATAGATGCACTGACCTGTTTATGTGTATCATTCATGATACTTTTATTACAATAGTTGTTATTAGTGATTGTAAGGATAATTCCTTTTCCTTACTTCGCGTCCCTGCTCAGCGCGTACACCACTGTTCCCGCCAACCAAACCCAACAGTGATCCGTTACCACTCGCGACACTCGCCTCGACACTATTCCCGCCACTGTTCACGACGCGACCCAACCTCACGGTTCGGTTGGTAACCCGCGCTCCGGACCTCCGCCTCGACAATTCCCAACCTCGGCGCCAGGCCCGTCGCGCACCCCATTTTCCACGCATTACCGTTACCACTGTAGTTTTGCTATATATTCTTCGCTCATGCCTTCGCTCATTGTACTCTTGCTTCGATAGTGCAATTCTCGCTCGCTCACTCAATTGCACTCGTAACACTTGGTATTCAGAGCCTACGATCTCTTCTCGGACCGCACCCACACCTTCGCTTCCCCACTATCTCAATTTTTTTGGGGGGGGTAGACGTCTCTCAGCGACACAGCACCGCCGCTCGTAGTGCTCTCTCGTAAGCACGCACGGCCACGACAGAGGCTCTCGCTGAGCTCGCCCGACACCCCCGCCATGGCCGAATTCACTCTCGCAACATTGACGCAGGAGCAGCTCGACCGTCTGGTGCGCCAAGTTGAAGATTCGGCGCTCGAAATTGCGACGCTCACAGCGGAACGTGGCTCCGCGCGTCAGCAATCTACGACGAACGCTCCAGCATCACAAAATGCACCTGCACAATCGGACGAGCCGATCGTCATCTCGTCCGGCACACCAACACAACATGACAGCGTGGGACAGCGCTCAGGAGCAGCCAGTGATAGCGCCGCCCAACCAATGCCTGGCATGGGAGGAAACAGGGTCGCGCCAAGCCCGCGGGAGCCTCGCGAAGCCCGTCGGCACGTGGAGTTCGCGGCGACAAGTGGCGAACAGGCCATCATGGCACCAATGCCACTCAAGCCGCAACGCCCGCCCTGCTTCGACCCGAGCCAGCGTGGAGGTCCGACGGTTCAATCGTGGGTCTTCACGATGAACGTCTTCTTCGACGCGAATTACGTCGAGTCGGACGCAGCGAAGATTCAGTACGCTGTTTCGCTGCTAAGGGGCCCCGCCATGGACTGGTGGCGAGTCATCGTGACGTCGCCACGCGCCTACGAGCCACCGTCGCAAGAGGAAGGGCCCACGGGTCCAGCTGTCACCTGGAGTTCGTTCTGTGAAACCGCCCAATACAGCACGTGGGATGCGTGGTGCGCAGGGCTTCGGGCGCGTTTCGAGCCGATCGCGGCTTCTATTTCGGCGCGCCAGAGATTGCGCACTTGGCGGCAGCTCGGGTCGGTTCAAGATTACACGAGCGGTTTTCTCGCACTTTGCGAACAAGTCGGCTACATGCACGAAGCGGAGCGGGTGGACCGTTACGTCGGAGGGCTGAAGCCGGACATCTCGCACGAGATCATGCTACGCGGGCTCTCGAAATTCAACGAGATTCTCGCGCTCGCTGAGAAAATCGACATCCTACGCCGACCGAGACCGGGGTCCTACTACGGACATCGTCCTCGGGGACCGATCGAGCACGCCACTGTACACGCTGTTGCGACGAATGCAGCTGCCGCGCCGTTTAAGGGGCGATGCTTTGCTTGCAACAGGCCGGGCCATCGCAAGAGCGAATGCCCAGAGGAGCTGAGGCGCCGCGGAGCAGAGCAGAGGAGGGAGTCTCAGAGGCAGGGAAACGCCAGCAGTCAGTAGGAGTCGGGCCAACTACTGACGAGACTGCCTGCTCGCCCAACCACACCGACCCTCACCGAGTCACAGTACCGATTCACGCCATCGATCGGGCTCGGATGAATAAGGAGGGTACAGCGACGGATTGCCCAGTACTGATCCACGGGAGAATACAGGGAGCAGCAATGA